AAATGAAATTCAAATATTTTCAGAACCCCTTTGTCATTTAATTAAGTGGAAGAAGTCATTTCATCTTCACTCTAGGGTTTTGTATTTGAAAAGAATTTGAATTCATCGAGATAAAAAATGCACGGTGAAAGTTTGGGAAAGTCCTTTTATTTCCTCTCATTTAACTTTCAAAAAGTTCCAAATTTCACTCAGTTTCACACAATCAATCAAATAAACAATCAAAACTATTTATTTAATATAACATTCCAAAATTTAGAATTTTGGGATGTTATAGGTGGAGTGACGTGGAGCCAACGCAAGGGGTGGAGAGACGACTGTTCTTTTCGCTGGCCAAGCAGTAACAAAGGCAGATGAGGATGGAAAGATGCATCGGTGGGCAGCCGCTCTTATGGGTCCTACCGACAGTAACTAAAGCAAACATGGCTGCTTTCTATTGTGATGGGTCCCGCATGTAGGCCTCTATTGAAATGATGATGTGGCAGTGTTGTTGATGTGGATAGCTTGCATGTCAAGAGAAATAACATAGTGGGGATGAACTATTTAGGTATTATAGATATGATTTAACATATGAATCGTTGCGTGCTATGAGGGGTTAAGTTATCACCAATTTTATTGTTGATCATAGGATTAAGGATGATGAAAATATTAATTATGCTAGTGTATGCCCATGGAAGCTTTATTTTGATGGATCGGTTTGTAGGGACGGGCAAAGCGTCGGTAGTGTCTTAGTTTCACCAAATAATGTTGTTTATGACGCATCGGTTCGTTTGGAATATCCTTGCACTAATAACCAAGCTGAGTATGAAGCTTTACTGTTTGATTTACAAACTTTGGTTGATATAGGCGTAAAGGATATGGATGCTTTTGGGGATTCGCTTATGGTAGTACAACAAATTAAAGGCGCAGTTCTTCGATGATTATTAAATAGTTATTTGGACTGATGTTTAGATATAATTAAACCTTTGGATACATTCACTATCCATCATATACCTAGGGAGCAAAATTCTAGAGCTAATTGTTTAGCACAACAAGCATCTGGTTATCACATTTAGTTTTTTTCAAAAGGGGCGCTTTATCACATTTAGTATAGGAAAGTTTTTCATATTAAAAAAGCTGATGCAAGTTGACGTAGGGAATGAGTCAATCATGTTTGATACTTTGCCACGGGGTGCACTTGGGCCTAGCACAGTTGAACAACTAGTTGTACAATATAGTGCATATTCGGTGGATGAGTCACAAACGACCGAGTTAGCAAATAATTTAGAACTAAGTGATTGGAGAGTTCCTCTAGTTAATCATTTAAAGGATCCAAGTCAAACAAAAAATAGGAAAATTGAGCGACAAGCTTTAAAATATACTTTGTTTAACAACGACTTGTATCGCCAAACAATAGATGGGTTATTTTTAAAATCTTTGGATTCTGATCAATCTAGAATAGCTATTGGTGAAGTGCACAAAGGTATATGTGGAACACAACAGTCAGCTCACAAAATGCAATGGTTATTAAAAAGAGAGGGGTTTTATTGGCTGACTTTGCTAGAGGATTGTTTTCGGTACTATAATGGTTGTGAGGCTTGTCAAAAATTTGATAATGCGTGCGTCTATGTTAAATCCCATAATTAGGTCGTGGCCATTTAGGGAATGGGGCTTAGATTTTATTTGTGAAATACATCCTTCGTCTTCTAAAAGACATCGCTTCATCCTAGTTGCCACATATTACTTTACTAAATAGACTGAAGCGGTTCCTTTGAAAAATATGACTCATAAGGAAGTTATTAGTTTTGCTTTAGAGCATATTATTCAGAGATTCGGTATTCCTCAAACTTTAACTACTGATCAATGTGCTTCTTTTATGTCTCATCAATTTTGTGAATTTGCCAAATCTTTAGGAATTAAATTGTTAAATTCGTCGCCTTATTATGCTCAAGCTAATGGACAGGCCGAATCTAGCAATAAAACTTAATTAAGCTTATAAAATAGAAAATTCAGGAGTATCCGAAAAGATGGCATGAGGTACTTTCCGAAGCTTTATGGGCTCATAGGATATCTAAACACGGAGCGACTCAAGTAGAACCGTATGATCTAGTATATGGTCAGGAGGCGGTGTTACCCATAGAGGTTAATTTACAAGCTCTTAGAGTGGCCAGCCAAAAAGATTTGTCGGCTGTAGATTATAATGATCTGACGATAGATAAGATAGATGATATTTCAGAAGAGAGATTGAGAGCTTTGCCAGATATTGAGAAAGAGAAATTAAGAGTAGCCAAGGCTTATAATAAAAAGGTGAGAGAGAAATCGCTTCAAATAGGAGACTTAGTGTGGAAGACGATTTTACCTATTGGAACTAAAGATAGGAAATTCGGCAAATGGTCGCCGAGTTGGGAAGGCCCGTATAAAATAATAGAGATTGTTCCTGAAAATTCATATTTTGTACAATCTTTGCAGGGAGATAGTTATCAAAAGCTCTCAATGGAAAATATTTGAAGAATTACTATCCTAGCATGTGGCAGGGGGCTGAACATGTTGTGGCTGATATGTTATTCCAAGTATCGCCTTAAGCAAATTTGGCCGATGTATCGTTGGACATCGCCTTGCTTAATGATATGATCAGTGATCAACTTCATCCTACGGCAACTGCTATAGTATTTTTGGTCAATACAATTGTACCAAAAATAGGGGGGCATGTGTTGATGGTATAATTTGGTTACTTAGTATATGATGAGCCAAATTAAATTAATGATTTATCAAGCTGATCGGTTAATGCATTGTTGAAATATTGCCACACGAAATTTCATGGAAGGTGAAGATACACTCAATTAGGATGAATTAGAGCCGCCAGATTCCTCCTCATTCATCGCTTCTGTCTACGGGTCACGCAACATAGCTCTTGTCGTCAGCGAGCAGCACCAGGGATGGGGTCAACGCTCCAGCGCTACTATAGAGAAGGAGAACCACCCGTGACCGGCGACGAAGACTTCATTGCAGCATCGGTGCCCGGCGACATCGTAGCACCGGTGAACCGACGGTGTCGTACCTCATCCGGCATGCAGCACCGGCGAAGCTCCATTGCAGCCCCGGCGGCATGGCAACAACTCCGATGCAGCATAGGTGACGCCCAACAAATCTCCATTGCAGTGTCGGCGGCGGCAACAGCTCCGATGCAGCACCGGCGACGCCCGACGAAGCTCCATTGCAACGCCGGTGGTGCAGCAATAGCTCCGATGCAGCACCGGTGACGCCCGACGAAGCTCCATTGCAGCGTCGGTGGCGCGGCAACAACTCCGATGCAGCACCGGTGACGCCCGACGAAGCTCCATTGCAGCACCGGCGGCGCTTCATTGCAGCGCCGACGGTGCTTCATTGCAGCCCTGGCGGAAGCTCCATTGCATCTTATCACAACACCTTTCAACACTGGCGGCGAGCTGGCCAACCTACCCCTGCGTGCTACATTGCAGCACCGACGGCGAGCGAGGCACGTCTCCGGTCTTCGTGCTACGTTGCAACACCAACGGCCTCACTGCACTGGTGGA